TATTGATCATTATTATTAAATATTAATACTTCTAGTCGTATACTCTTACTAGAGTAAAAGTGGTCTCGCGCGTCCCAGATATAAACATACCCGAACGCCATAGGCAAATACAGTGTGTATCAGCGCATTTTTGTTTCCATGATATGCGATAGATACTAACCTAACAAAACTTGTCCTTACATTTCTCATTTGGTATATCTTAGTCTTATTTTATTTTGTTTTTTTTTTAAAAAAAAGAAAAGTAAATAAAAGAGAAAAAAAAGGGAGAAATTACTCCTTCATTTAATACAAAGTTTCGATGAGAAGATACAATGATTCTGACGAAAGTCATTAAATTAAACGGTGAAGATGAACAGATCTATCTTTTTTCTTTTTCTTTTCCTCCCTTATAGTTTAAGAGTTACAAGTAAAATTATCGTAACAAATCGCACAATATTATTGCGCATGATATAAAATTATACACATGATAAAAATAATCAATTCGGAGCACTTAAAATAATCGAAAAGACTTTATCTTTACTCCGTAAAATAATCGAAAAATTTCACTCTCTTGTCAACATTCAAGAAAAGATATTTCGTGTTAAATATACAAAGTAGACTAAAGAAAGTACTTAATTTGTCGGATAAAGTCTTCGGCGTCCGTCCGCCGGAAATACTTTCTCTTCGCAGAATCCACAACTGTGTGTTTGCACGTACATGCCTGTGTGTATCTCGTATCTGAATACGCCGCATACTTAATCGAGTCTCGATACGCTTATCGTTACGTTTTTTTTTTTACATTTTTTGTAATTTCTTTTTCTTCGTTTACTTTAGTAGTCAGTCGACTTTGGGGTCCGTTTAGAAAGAGAGAGGTACATACATGTCCGCATTCAAAGAATGCGTTTCTTGATTTTTTTTCGTTTCTAGTAAATATCGTACACCGCTATATTTACACACCTCACGATACTTTTCACTTTTTCGCTTCTACCAGTCACAATGAAATCTCCGAAAGGAAAGCCATTCTCTTCTTTCGTTTCACGTACTTCGTACGTACGATATTACACCGCTCCATTCGGATTACTTTACAAGTACCCTCCGCGATAATGAACTCTCCTCTTTCATGCAACTAAGTCTTATATCATCGAAAAATATCATCAGAGATACCTCTATTATACTACTAATTCTTACTTAGTTTTACCTTCAGCGAACAGGAATACTCATTTCCAGTCAATGTCTCATGGAGTATGATTATTGTATATATTTATATTTTTATTTATATATATATATATATATAGCGGTTGTTCGGGGATTTCCCATTTCTTTATCTAACTTAATGTAAACATCGCGCCTGTGAAAGCTTACAAAAAAATTAAACAGAATCGCGAATCATGTATAAATAGGGGGAACAACGATACAATGCGTTAACACAGCATTATCGTAGCCACCATTGCAGATATCATATTGATATTGCTTTGATAAATCCGAGCATAATTGCACCGGCATATTTCTATTTCTTTTTTAACCTCTTTTAATCGATATTTTATCGCCAAATAATACTATTTCATATCTTCAAATATTGCACTACATTTGTGTTAAACAATTTGATCGACGATTATTATTCTCCAATAAGTCGTTAAAAATATTTTCTCTCATAAAAGAAGAAATAAAAAAAATATCTCGTGTGTATATATACAAGTAATAAAGATTGTTTATAAAAATCATTCTTATGCACAGCTTTATGTACCGGTATAAAAGAAAAACAAAATAGAATGATACACCGTTATCATGTTACATTATGTGCGCAACGGACTATTCCAGTAACATTGCGAATACTCGAGAAAAGGCAATTGCCGCGATTTTCGTACGACGCATAAAAATCGCTAACCGATCGCAACGCCTTTATTTTAATTGCATGAAATTTACGTTCCTAAAACTTAACCGTTCTAAATAATGTCTTCCAAAAATATAGGTAACACATGTAAAACTGTACGCGCGTCAATTTTGTCAGCGAATCGATAACATAGACAAAACAGTTTCTAATGTTAAGGCTTGTATCATGAAAATACATTTAAATCATAAACGATTTACTATTGGATACGCAGCCTGAAGTGATGATTTTTTTCTCGCTCTTGCTCTCACTCTTTCTATTTTTTTCGCTCTCGCTCTTTCTCTTATTCTTTCTATCTATCTCTTTAAATATTTTTCTAAATACAAATAGCTGAGAATATCTCTATCTATAATCATCTTATTCCAAGTTTTTCGCTTCATATGTATTTCTTTATGTGTCGTGTATTGCGAATATCGAATATGGATGCCTTTTCCAATAGTACAAGCTTTATGATTTAAATTTTCGAATTTATATACGGGCATTAACTGAAACGTGATCCTAACGCGATCCTAACGACGATCGCGTGAGGAACATATATCTATGTCGAGGGACGTTATTTAGTTTTTTTTTTCTCCTCTCCCTCTCTCTCTTTCTGCTTCCCCCTTTCCCTCTCTTGCTTTTTTTCTCTCTGTGGTGTATATTACTATGATGGATCTACTTGTGGTGAATATATTGTCGCTCTTTACCATACAGACACATGCGGCAGAAAATAGGCATTCTTTGTTGCGATAATACACTCTACATCGTTATCCAAAAGGAACTTCGATTGAACTTTTTATTATACGCTTTATCCCTTTTGTTACTTCTTTTGCTTTATTATTTTTCCTCACAAAGGCCAAGGTATGCAATATGTCTACTACTGACCCATGTGGGTTAAAAACGAGCCGAATTCGAAGTTAAAACGAGAGGAATTTCGTGTCAACTCGCCTAGGGTACTAACTCCGCTAGGGCAGAATTAATATTCTTCGCGACATTAATATTCTTCTTAATCGTGAAAAATACGACAGTAGGCCGTGGCCGTGCGGGAATCCATTCGAAGGCATCGTAAGGAATCGTCAAAGTTCTCGTTTTGTTCGTCCCGACGCAGCCACGGCTCGCCGTCAATCGCGAATGATCGCACGCGAGATTGTCTGAGGCTACTCTTGCAGAATCGGGAGTGCGCAGAACAGCGATGTCCAGCGCCGCTCCTCTTCTACTTTCTTCGTCTATTTTAAATGAAAATTCGTGAGAAAGCGAGTAAACACGTTGGAATAAAAACTGCGCGGGCACTGCAGGTCGGATCTATAGCTGGCTCCGCTTGGCGCTACGCTGCGCGGATGGTGGTGATTCGCCGTAGGTGTCAAGTAGGGTCTGAATAGTTAGGGTTTACTGTTGTCATTATTTAATGACAACGGGTCGGCGAGTTTCTGCTGCTGTTGCTGCTGCTGCTGTTGCTGCTGCTGCTGCTGCTGCTGTTGCTGCTGTTGTTGTTGCTGTTGCTGCTGGCTGACCTCGCTAACAGCACCGCCGCTCATCAGTTTCGCGTTATTGTTCTCTGTGCTGGACATTTTCGTATATTCGCGTTTACGCAGCATGTTCTCCGTCTTGACGATCGTGATGTCCGGATTGTTCTCCAGCACTGACGTGGTGGAACACTTCGACACTGCCGTTGGCACCTCAATGTAGCCACCGCCTTCACGCTTAATCGACGTCGTGGTCGCCACGTTCGCATTGATCTTTTGCAATATGTCGTTCACGGAATCATTGTTTTCCGTCGTCGTCGATTCTGTTGCGTTGTTGTTGCTGCCGCTATCGATGCTACCGCTGGACGCCACGCTGAGATCACCGGCCAACGAGATTCTATCCGGACCCTGCAGCGTTGAAAGATAAGTTGCAAGTGTGTGGACGGTGACATTGAGGAACTCGGCGGCCCGGAACAATGTTATTTCCTTTCGTCGTAATTTCGCTAACACTTCTGCCGGGCCCGGTTCAGACCAAAAATCTCTTACTCTGAAAATATATGTCATCTTTATATTATTATCTCGATTATTTTGGTGAAACTCTATCGTTTTCTTTTAATTCGCACTTTATTTTAATTTGAATTAAAATTACGCTATGTTTTCTTTAATGCAAAGATCGAACATCAGCATGCTTAAGTGTAATTTTGAAATTTTTGTGTGCATGCGTCCATTACCTGTACGGATGTTTAAGGCAACCATAACTGTCGCGATATCTGCCGTAGAGAGTGCCGTAAGAAACACCGAGGATTTCGGCGGCAGTCTTCATTTCTAGCTCTTTGCTCTTGATAGCATCCATAACGCGGCGCGTGAAGGGTTCCTCCCAGAACTCTTGTCGGCGTCCCGTCGTCAGGTAATCATTCATCTTTATTACGTCCCGGAATTGTTCAGGAATCGACAGATTTGTGGCGTTAGAATTTGATGGAGTGCTAGCGGCTGCAATCGATAAATAATCAATATTTACAATAACTATTAGAATGGACAAATCGGGAACATTATTTTATAAAAATAATGTGTTACTGTTATTTTTTTGTAAAAAGTTATTTGTTACTCATTTTAAAAAGTAACGCCGTTACTAGAAAGTAACATTTCATTACTTTTTTGTAATGCTAGAGCAAGATATTAGATTTTCAAGTAACGTTATTAAATAATCTATATTAAATCTTAAAATTCTAAACTGTCTCTATGTGATAAGATTTTCTTTATACATATTATTAAACTTATCTAATAAATTCTTCTTTTTACGATTCTTTATATTGATATTTTTATTTTTTAATGTATCTTTGGAATTATCTTTAGGAATTTAGATTGTAATTAAAAAATTTTATTAAAACGCAAATTTTATTAAATATTATTTTTAAATATTATCACTTAGAGGACATTCCAATATTCGCTGCCAGTACTGTGTGTGTGAAAATTTGTAGCTCACGTTATATGCATATATTATTATAGATTTTTGTCGGTATTAGCAGCGATTATCGAAATGCAGCCTAAGATATAAGGTACAAAATATTTCAATATTTATATATTTACTTAAATAAATTTCTATCCAATCAAAAATAATGTCCATTGAATAAATATTAAGACATAATAGAGAATTAAAGTAATAGCTGAATTCATTATCGTTATTAAAAATATAACGACTTTACTGTAAACAGAAAAGAGTAATAAAAACAGTAACGATAATGTAATGGTGTTACAAATACATAATGCATTACTTTCCAACTTTGAAAATGGATACTGACGTACTTAATCGGCGTCAAAAAAGAATAGAAGCTTCCGGAGGAAAGAACTTTTCGGGAGGAAGACAAAAATATCAATTTTCTTCGAAAGCGATTAGCAAAATTCATCAAAAGAATTCAGAATTATCGAAAAAACAGTGTTCCAATCTTTTTTACGCCGATTACATTATGACAAAAGACATTTAAAACAAGATTAGTAACATTTGTTACGCGCTCAAGATATTTTAAGAAAAATGATGTTCTTCAATATATATTATATTATGCATTTTTTATTGTTTTATATGCAAAATATAAATAGAATGAGAACTCTGAACCGGCAATATAAAAGAAGATGTCAATAATACAAAATAAATGTTTATTTTTCTTTTCGAGAGAATCTTAACATTTTCTTCAGTTTGGTTTTATATACCAATATTTTATTTTTATCTCTTGTACAGAACAAATAAAATAATAAAATATGCATTATTTTTTTATTTCGTATATGAAAATTATAACGACAACATAATGTTAATAGAATGTAAAAATAATTATAAATCTATAATAGAGACATCTATATCTAGATATAATAGAAACATAAAAATATATAAATTTAGAAACAAGCATTAGACATACACTAAGCAAAACTTTCTGAGAGTGGAGAAAGGCTACACATCAAGGTGTAATTGCAGAACGATCATGTATACCTTTCTTTTCTTCAGATGCGTCGTCCTTGGGCATGTAGGACAGCTAGAAAAATCACACAATAGTCAAAATCGTTGAATAGAATATTCGCGCAAGGAATAGTCTAACCTGACGGTTGATGCAAGAGAAAGTAGAGCGGCATCTCTTTTAATAGACTCAATTTAATTATTGTGTGCGCACTCACGTCAGCAAGTGAAGAGGAATAGAGAGAATCGTATCTAACGATAATTGGCCTTACCACCGGCAGTGGCGTTTCGTTATTCTCGTTCATCATCATCTCGTCGTCCCAACTCTCATGGTCGCCGCCCTCGCTCATCATTTCCTCCTGAGAAAAAGTTCGACGTGACACATTAGAATCGTGCGTGGGTATCCTCACGCATGTGCGGTACCCGCCGCTGCGAGTCTGACAAAATTATTGTATTTTTACATTCACGATAACGGATCGTAAATATTCCGTGTAAGGCTCGGTATTCATTGCAGTGCAGATCCACCATTTTCTCCCTCACCTTTTTATAATCTTTCTTAATTATTCGTTCTACATTCAACGCCACATCTTTATACAGAAATATTGCAAAATTTAAAAATCCGAGAACTTTTAATCGTAATAATTGTAACGCAATTGTTAGGGATTTTCAATTTTTCCACTTAGAAGATTAGAAGGTGTAACTCTGAATAATTAAGACGTAAAAAAAATGTATTTTATATATTTTTAACATTTAAACACTTTTTGAACATTTTGATTTTGTGGATCAATATTTTATAACAATAGCATAAATTTTTGTTCGAAACAACAGAATAAAAGTTTTTAAATTAAGATCTATTAAAATTTGAAGATATTTAAAATATTTGATACTCACAAAAAATATATTTTTTCAATGATTATATCATAATATATAAATATATTATGATTATAGTATTTATAATACAATTCAAATACAATTATACCGTGAAATTTTTTTATAAAGCAATATCACTTTGACTTTTTGCGAACGGATTTGCGAAATGCTGCTGCAACAATTTAACCGCACTGAAAGAAAAGATTGGCTCTTGCAGCAATTTAGATGGTAAAATATGGCATAGCATTTTTAGTTGGCTGCTGCATCCAATTTTTGGTTACAGCAGCCAATTTTTGGTTGCGTTAGTCATCCGCAGTGTCAATATACGGTTTCAATAGGCAACCAAAAATTGGCTGCTGCAGCCAATTAAAAGTGTTATGCTATATTCAGTCAATCTTTTCTTTCGTTGGCACACTAAGCTTTACACAGACCAGTTTAGCCTATGATAATGATAAGAGATATACGTACGTTCCCGGTGATGCAAGTGATTTTGGGTGTGAAAACGTCATGTGCCGATGGTGGATCGTCCAGAGGCGGACGACCTCTACGTCTCTGTTTGGGAGGTGGTGGCTCGTCAGTTTCACCTTCTCGCAGGACCGTTTCGACGCCGGGGGTTCCGGTGCCGGGACTGTGGCCGGTGTTGTTCAGGTCGTTTTGCGTGGAATCGCTGCGCCAGCTCACCTCGGCGAGCCCCTTGATGTGTAAATCCTCGGCGGTTTTCAGCAACGACGACAACCTCGTCTATAAAACGAAATGGACAAATATAATCATTCGTTTCTATAATGTCTCGTTTTTGTGTTTCAGTAATTTCAGTGACTTTCTGTTGTCTTGTACGTAATTGTTTTCAAAATTATCATAATTTCTATATTTATATAGTATTAGTATTATATGTCAGCATAATTCTTAGTAAGATATCGTTATATATAATATTATTAAAATATTATTTTATGACACATCGACAAATAGAAATGGAGGAATACGAGTGAGATTAAAGGTCAGAATCCAGAAAAAGTATAGATGCGTAGATAAATATGACTTACAGAAAAAAATGTAAATGTATAGATAAATATGACTTGTGTAACTGCGAAATTTGTTAAATCCGTTGTATGCTTCTTCGAGGAAAATTATAAATTCAATTGCTTATTTATAAATAAGCAGAGTAGACATATTTATTGAGTTATTTCTAAACGAGACATCATTATGATATCTAAATTAAATGTTTGAATTATAATATTAAAATTTTCAGATACTATAGTTAGTGAGCATATTCTATAAAAACTAACTTTCTCTATAGTTATATATTAAATTCGTAAATATACATATACGTGTATATGTATATCGCATGTGAGGTTCTAACGAAATATTTTATCAAAAGACATCGCGCAGAAATAAATTGACAACTCTCTCCATTTATTTATTACGGGACATATTTTTCTATGTCTGAGTCAATCACAAAGTTAAAAATTATTAATTATCCCGTAATTATAAAAACTTAATGCATTTAGACAGGATGTTTTTTAAAGCTTGAAATACTGCGAAAGGGGAAAATATAAAAATGAAAGACAAGCCCATTACTTTCGGGTCGCTGACACGGACCGCTTATTTATTTTCATCAGCATTATTTTCCCTCACAAATATCCTTTGGATTTCTCCCCTGGGAAAAAATACCCCTACGTTGTATTCTCGTGTATGAGAGTGGAGAAACTCGCGCGACGTACTGGACGGAAAAAAAATAAAGATCACGAACGCGTATGAAGAACGCGGGGGGAGGGGAAGAGAAAGAGAGAGAGAGAGAGAGAGAGAGAGAGAGAGAGAGAGAGAGAGAGAGAGAGAGAGAGAGAGAGAGAGAGAGCGAGAGATATCTCGAACTTAATTTCATGCGACAACGGGCCCCAATTATTATTTGCTAATTTTCACCAACGCGGCGGTGATTGTGTACGTTCGCTGTTCGCGGCGCGGCCGAATGCTAAATAATATAGGAACTTTCTACGAACGGCCGCATGCAGCTTTCTATCGGCCACGGCTGGAATTGGAAAAATGTCTATGTGGGTCAGCGTCGACGCCGCGGCGGAATAATGTATTTCAGAAATATCGCCGCTTTCGTTTCTTGCTTGCGCGGTAGCACGGCGGAGAAAGGAGGGGGTCGCGCGTAAGAAAAGGGATCGTGGGAAAAAAGGACGACGTGCCCCGAGTGACGCAAAGCCCGATCTACAACCGTTTGCAGATCTCCCTCCTCCGTGCCGTTTAGCTAACATTCCTCTCGGATACAGCGAGGAGAGCTTAAATCACGCGCCGATCTCCAATCCGGGATCGGGCCCTGACGATTTTCACTCAGCGATTTTTCGCGAGCCCGATCGGTCTGTACGACACAAAACGTGCCGGAGAAAGCTCCTTGCGCGGCTGCGACTGCCTCATCACGACTAGAAATCAGGAAGAATTCGCTCTCTTCGGAAGGAGATAGATGTACTATTGAAGATTCGCGCGAAGAAAGATCGCCAGCTTCGCGGAAGGAACTGTAAAGTATCAGTTTGTCGGATATCGAATAAGCGAGATTTTCAACTAAATAAAATTATAATCTATTATCTGTAAATGAGACATTTATAATCGAACAGTTAAGGTACGTTTAAGAAAGGAGGAAAAAAATGTATTAAGGAAAAGTTCAAGTTTATAAGAATAGTTTACAAAATATTATAAAGCTGGATATATACCATGAAGACATATCTCAAGAGAATACATGAATCTTAAAATGTACTCGCGGAAATTTCAATATTGAGGACGTATTGTCGAATTATTGTAGTCTAATGCAAAGCAGACAGGCGAAATGTATGAAATATCTCGAAAAAATCTCGGAGGAGCATTTTCTTAAATGTATTTCGGGCAATCTCGAAAAATTGAAAACATAATATCGCAAACAAGATGTTGGAACAATTTACTCCATTCTCATTAATAAAACCAGGTGCAAGGAACAGTGCAATTGTATAAATATACCCAAATGGACTTTTGCGGATTATCCGCCGGTTTATTATTATATTCTCCAAGCACAGGCTCTTTTTAATCCACGATTAAAAAGTCTCAAGGATTACGAGAAAACAATTAGCGAAACATATGATACAAGGTGTGTGGTTACCGACTCTTTTGTCATTCTATAAGTATATATAAATTATACATACGGAAATAAAATGTATCATTATTGTATTTTAATGACATATTCATCAACAATTGATTTTTCTCAGTAAATGTTTCTAATAATTGTTTTATCTTTACTATTAAATATATTTTAAAAGCCATTGAAAAAGTTTCTATTAAAATAGAAAAGGATCTACCTAAAATTCATTAAAAATAAAATTTTACATTAAATATATGTAGATCAGTTTCGAAATTTTTCATAGAGAAAGTCGACCTTGAATTTATCAAAGTGTCGGACATAACTGCGTAATAACGTTCTTATTGATTTTCTGCCTGAATATCACCATGTCTCCTTATTTTTTTGTTTTCAGACTAGAAATTTACCCTAACCGAGATCGATATTTCTGACATGTTACATATTTCTGACGGTCTTGTCATAACACATTTTGCAGCGTATTCGAACTTATGTACGATTGTCGTCAGTGCGAATGAGAAACGTTAGTTTTTTGCAAGATAATAGGCACCGTAAAGTTCTCTCGTTAACCATGGCTGTCACAGAGCGCGGCGGCTGTTATCTACGTGAAATTGTTGTTATTGGAAAACTGAGGAAGGCGGGGATTTATTGTCTGAAGAATGGCAGGGTTTTACTGCTTAACTTTATTTCACAGCGACGTAATAAAACGTCCGCCACAAATAGCAACATTAATGAGCACGAAGTGAAAATATATCTAAGATATAACTTAGAGAGAGAGATTATCACGGTCGATAATATTTAATTCGCGTTTTATATGCAATGAGTGTTACGTTTCACATCAGTCTTCTTTGCCAATATCTCTCAGGAATTTCATTGTAATTTTTGTACGAGTATATTCGCATGATTTATTTTGGGATCATATAATTGTTTCAGGATATATAATTCAAACTTTTTATTTCAAGATAAAATTGCTTACAAATCAAACTGTTCATATTTCTGTATGATTTTTATTGCTTTCCAATAAGGTTGCAAGACTTTCGCGTCACATTCGCTTATTTCTATTTACAATCTAGTTTATCCTACTTTATATCTATCACGGAAAGAACGATTTTGCTGAAGCATTAAAAAATTTAGCTAATAGACACAAATCTGAAAATAAATTTTGTCGGACTATCAAAATAATTATGTAGAAAACGTTCAAGCTGGTTGTTAGAATGTCAAAACTTTTTGATCATCATGCTTGAATTTCCTACATAATTATTTTAATCGTCCAACAAAATTATTTTCAGATCTGTACATAAATTTTTTATAGTTAGTTCAGTAAAATCTTTCCATATACATTCGCACTTATTTAATTTATTAATTTAATTTAGAACACTCTAGTTAAAAATATTTCTTTCTTTCGTTCTGTTTCCCAACTAGACTTTTGTTTCCGTATGCTCTTTTCTATCTTATCTTTCTCTCACACTTTTCATATTTCGTTAAGTATGATAATCTAAGAAACGATATCGCTTCTTGAATTTTCTACGTAGAATAAATTTTTCAAGTGTCCATTGGGGGGAGGAAGGGGGGGGGGAAGAATCAATAACGATACAAAAATAAGAAAGACGTGAAAAAAAGTCATTTATAGGAAGTAGTAACACTCACGTGATCGATGTTGATCTCTCCCTTGTACATGAACTCGACCAGCACTTTGATGTCCGAGAATTTGACGTCACGCATGATGACGATGGGGTCCTTCTCCTCATACTGCGATAGGATCGTGTCGAAGTATGTGCTACATGCCGACAGTACAACCTGTGAACATGCGAGTTGGCGCAATTGTTAATCATTTATGCGGCGATTTTATCTGCGGGAGCGCGAAAAAGGTCGTGTAAATAACGCGCGTAAGTAGAAGAATCGCGATTTAAATTCTACATGCGTTATGAGTAATTGCACGAGTTGTTACATGTCGGACATATCGCGGGTTAATTGCGACGAAGTTAAATCTAAATCTAACGAAGATAAGCCTCGCACGGAACGTTGGGAAAAGATATCAGTATCGTGTGTGCCTTCCATTTTTTTTCTATAATGTTCTACGAAACTATACGCAAATACTCCACTCGAAATGCAGGCACACAGAAAGTACGACTTTGTTGAAGTATACCTATCTAAAAATTTGATTAGATACAAATTGGAAAATAATTTTGTTGGACTATCAAAATAATTATATAGGAATCTCAAGTATGATGAACAATATTGTAAAAGTATTTTGACATTCTAGCAATTAACCAGTTTCAGCGTTCTACGTAATTATTTTGATGATCCAACAAAATTATTATCAGATCTATATCTAGCTAAACTTTTAGATATTTCGGTAAAAACCATCCTTTCCGTGCGGTTAATGAAAAATGCGTTTACTTTCCAATCTACATTCTACAATATTATTATGCCATTTATTTACCGAGATCAAACTGATTCCGCCGTAGTTACGTTATCCAAATTTAATCATAGTGGTCGACGATTGATTGTAACGTGCTGCACAATGTAAAACTATAAACGACATTTCGTAGGACTTTGAGTTACCGTGCTGGCGCAAACATTGCCACGCGTATAGCATTGCGTCGAATTTCACCGGCGTGACGGAAGTGACTTCGTTATCACAGCACGCGTAAATGTTGCGGTATCGTTTATTAATCAGAAAAGTCGTTGTATAAGCTTCAGTTTCAATGTTCCCTGATTAATTTGCATTAATTGACACTGGACGTGACACCAGGAATTGGAATCACGGGCAATTTGTCGAATTTATAATTAGCACAGAGAGACATGTAATGCTATCTGTTTTTTTTTTCCTTTTTTTTCTGCAGCTCGTGGTAAACGTCACTTTAGTTTCACGTTACGTAACACGATCCAATTTATTCGCTTTGGCAAGTAAGGACACGCGCGCGCAAGCCGAGACTCGCACAACGGCGGTGAGGGCGACGCCGACGGCCGCGACGCGTCGATCATTATTAATTACCGGCGAAATGGAATTGTCCGGGAAGTCGTATTGACGCGCGTAACGAGCGTACTAACGTAATGTATGGATCGAGCGCGCGTCGCCCGATAAAATATGAATTCCTGTCTGCACATTCAGGGGATTTTTGCAAGACCATCCCTCCCCCCCGCCCTCCCTCTCCCCGGGCTTCTTTCGACGTAAATATCTGGCATGAAAGTCAATGAGGAGCCTCATACTCCTTTAAGAATTCTTCCTTCGCGACGTGGCATATCGTTTATAAACCCTTCCTCCCCGCCTCTAATGAAAATTTATACAAAGTGGTAGTCTGGTAGTACGTCTTTGTGATCGATGGATTTGCAATGCTTCGATTCTAGAACGGCGCGTCATGACGTTAATTTTCCAAGTATCCTACAATATAATTTCCTTAATTTTGTTCTTTCAGATCGCTGGATGGATTATCTCGCGATAGAATATCCAACTTTTTACCGAGACCGTTTCACAGATTCAAGTCTTCTACGATTGATTGTGTAGAGATTTTTCCGTATTATATCGATTTTTTTGCGTTACGTACGCATACGTTCCGGGTAATCATTGGATCTTGCTCAATCGTATATTGTTGTTGTTGTCGTCGTTGCAACCTTCAATTAATTGCACCTCTTTTGTATGCTAATTGACCGACGTCGCATATTGCCGTGTGTAACACGGAACGGGAATAGGTAAATTGGTACGAGACCCTGCGCGCAAACGAATGTCGTGGGAATTTCCGGACAGTTGCGCGAGTTTCTTTCGCGACGTCCCGCTAATAGCACACTACCGTCGTTAGAGAGGAAAAATATAACGGCACAAGAGTTTTTTTAAGCCGAGGCGAAATTCCCAACTACGCCAATTTTGGAGAACATGCACGTATACATTATCATAGTTGGGGGGGGGGGGGGTATTCTCTATAAATTTCCTTTCAACTCGAGGAAAAATTCTCCCTTCATCTTTTTCAATTTCTTAATGCTCCTTTTTTTCCAACCTGGTAACGATCACGATATAACAATAGACATAAAATACATTAGCGATTCCATTTGATCTTTTTTCTACAGACAGCGGTTTTTCTCTATTACAACGTCTTCAACTCGTATTGGCACATGAATTTTTTTTCCACGTCTCGGTCATATTTTACCCTTTTATTTTCTCCTGTCCTTATATAGTCGTCCTCCCCCGTGTCCTCTTCGTTAATCCATCGAACCTTAATTTCTCACTAATTTTTCATTCTTTTCGTCGCAGGCGAGGGGGAAGGCCACGGAGGGACCACGAACGACTAGTGTCTGACTCGACTCCACCCAGTCAATAGCCTGAATATTTAATGTTAGAAGTTCGTATTGATTTTCGCGATTTTTACGTCTCCGCAAATAAGGCCGTAAAGAACCGTCTCGCGGCTTTTTATTATGCCGGGGCGCTTTTATGGGGAAATACTGCGATGAAAAAAGAGGAAGACGTCGAGACGAGCGGGGGCGGGAGGAAAGGGCAGAAGAAGAAAGAAATTGCACTGCCCGGGTTTCATATCGAGTCATTACGATCCTCGGGCACTTTCACCCCCTCCCCCTCCCCCTCTCTTTCCTCGTCACCGGCTTCCTCCCTCCCATCCGCCCATCCAACCCTCCCGCCGTCCGCGACGTCTTCTGACATTAAACTTTTTATCGTGCATAACGGCGCTTCGTCTTTCGTCAAGAGTAAAAAAAAAAAAAGAAAAAAAAAATATAAATGGAAGAAACCGGCGGAGAGAACGATTTCTCCCCTGCCTACGCGGAAAAGGGGTGCTTCGTCAAATTTGTCGATCTCCCTCGTCGGTCTCTTCCCCTAGTCGCCCTCTTGTCCCCGTTGCTTCTTTCTTGTTTTTTTTTCTTTTTTTTTTTTTACAGAGAACGCGGAAGCATGACAGGCGCGCGATCGATCCCAAGACGCTTTACGGTGAAACGCGGCAGCGAAACGCGGAATACCGACGGAAATTTACATTCGTAATGGCGTGCAATAAATATTTATTCGACCGGACATTATTCCAGTTATTTATATGAATCGATATAAAAGCGTATCGCGAGAGGATGGACGGGGGCGGGCGGGGTCGTAATGACGAGTATTGCCCGCGGCGCAAACGTCGATGCGAGGCGAATCGGTATTTACGAAAAATCACGCTGATACTCTGAAATTTTAATCTTTACGATTTTTACAATTAAGCGACTTTTGCATAAAAACAACATTTTTACCATTTTATATCGGAAATCTTGATATAAAAAAAAAATCGCTGTAACTATTTCATGTCGACGGAAAGAATATTTCTATACTATCTATATTTTATACTTTAGATTATATTATCTGTCTCAGACATCGAATAAGTAATGTTCCATTATTTTGCATATTCCGGAAAATCGACTTTATAACGTGTGGAATAAAGTCAAGCGGAATTATTTATCGTATAGAGCGGGTTTTTTCGGAATTTCCATCTTTTCCGAAGATTATGCCAATCGTCGCGAATCAGCAAGTGTGAGTTTCAGAAAACTTGGAAAGTTCTCGAAAGCGCTTGCAAGATAAGCGAAACACGATGTGTTATCGCAACGGGAAATTCCGCGCGACGAGCGAAGAATGGAGGCATTGATATCAAAATCTGTAAATATCGATTAATATCAATGCTCCAAGAAAAATAACAATCTCGGAATATAAAAGAGTATAGTACAAATATGTCATTCTCTGCTGCAAAATTTTTGATTGTGAAATGTGAAGTGACTGCTATGAAACGATATATTAGAAAAAAAATGCAATAATATTTAATAAAAAAGAAAACTATGCGAGAGCGCGACTAAAACAGATATGTAAACTCAATATGTAAACTCTGTGAACTCGCAGTAAAAAATTTATTTTTAACTGATAGTAAAATAGTAGAAAGAATTTAGCATACTATTTTCTAAGTTGATTCTCATAAGTTAAGATCTATGATATCGTTGTAATTACCGATTGTAATTGCTTGTCGGTACTCGATATCGACATCAACACTCCGTGCTAAAAGCCGCGCTCTCGAGCGTCCAGAAAAGCCATAATTCATAACGTCTATAACGATCCCAGGGACATTTCGCTTGCGCGACGAAGTTCGTTATAAAAACGAGATTACTGGCCCCGCTTACAGTTACGTAATTCGATCGATAATTTAGGCGTTTCCCGTTTCTAGCGAATGAACGACAGTGCCAGTGGAAGGAAGAAAAAAGAAAAAAAGAGGGGGAGAGAGGGAGAGAGAGAGGGGGAGAGAGAGAGAGGGAGAGAGAGAGAGGGAGAGAGAGAGAGAGAGAGAGAGAGAAGAGCAAAGAATAAAGAAAGGTAGGATAAAAGAAAAAGAGATATCCTTTTTATGTCTGATGTGCGGGTGGGATCGAGACAAGAAACTTAACGAACCTGCTTTTTTTAAGACGCCAAGATCCTTCCCAGAACTCGTCTCGAAGCTTCGTAAAAATCGTTTTCGTGAGCGATTGTCTAACCTTGTGTCACATTCTATATACAGCATGTTCTTATTGTTTCCTTCAAGTACGGATTGTCCGCGCGAGTTTGCAATCGATTCTTTCTTCGTGAAAATGTCAAAACAATAGCAAGAAATAGAATAATTATATGTCGGATTATAATTTATAATCCAATATAATCGAGTCAAAATAAAATAATTTTCGAAAATTAAGTTTCAAAGATGAGAACAAAAATAATAAAATCTCAAATTTAATTCTGAATGTTATTTCAAATTTTATTTTTTGACTCTATTTCACTTACTTATTTATAAAGATGAATATCGACGGTCAGA